AAAAAAAAAAAAAAAAAAAGGAATGAAATCTAGGAAGATGAAATGGCAAGTGAAAAGATATAGAGAGAAAGCATGTGAGGTGCTTGGGACGTGGCTGAAGTTCAGAGAGTGTGTGTATGTGGTCATGCATGCATATAGGCGTGTGTATGTGTTGAGATATGAGCCTGGGCAAGTAAATGGGCCAGCCTATGAGAAGCCCTGATGCCATGTCCAGGAGTTTGCACTTGAATTGTTCACTTACCCATTCCATAGGCAAGCTACACTGCTGGGATGAATATCTGATGTTTATGTAATAGCCTTCCTTTCCAAGATCACAGTTGTAATCCGTCCATTACATCATGAGTAATAGGAAATGTGAGACTGCGGCTAGTCTATTTTCTTAAAAGCATTATTTGTGTGATCAACATAAAAACTCCCTGGCTCCCTTGAGCACAAGGAACGAAGGCGTATTTGGGTTGCTTGCTAGTAGCAGAATGCTCACAAGTGGAAAAACGTAATGTTCCAAATTTAGAAGTCCCCAGAAGGCATGAAAAAGAAAACACCAGTAGCATGTCCTGTCAATATACTACACCCTCAGTGGATTTCAAGGGGCAAGTAAAAAAGAATCAATAATCTGCCATGAACCTTGAACCTTTGTGAGTGACCCTGAAGGGAAATCCCACACTTTGCAGCTGTGATTCCCACCCAGGCTGATGGCATGTGAAAGGCTCAAAACAGTTTACATTTAGGTAAAGTAGCCTTCACAAATTATACAGAAAGTTCAAGGAAGTCCTGTAATATTAATGTACAGACCTGTAATGACTATGTTGTATTTCCTCTATGAAGAATATACAATGTTCCAAAACATCCAGATTCATGGATTTACATATCGGCTTTGATGACGCCCAAATTTTATCTCTAGATCTGACTGCTCCTATGAATTCCAGACCGGTACATTCAGTGCATTCTTACCATCTCCACTTGGATGTTTATTGTCTTCTCATTGCCTGTCAAACTTAACATGTTCAAACCCTGAGTCTTGATTTTCCCCCCAGATCTATATACACATTCCTCAAAATCCACCATTCACCTAGTTGCTCAGGATTAAAACAAAGTTGAGCCAGGCTCGGTGGCTCAGCCTGTAATCCCATGCTTTGGGAAGCTGAAGTGAGTGGATTGCCTGAGCCCGCGGGTTCGAGACCTGCCTGGGCAACTTGGCGAGACTTCATCTCTATAATAAATTTTTAAAAAAATTAGCCGGGCATGGTAGCGCATGCCTGTAATTCCAGCTACTTGGAAGGCTGAGGTGGAAGAATCGCCGGAGCCCAGCAGGTCGAGGCTGCGGTGGCCAGGAGTGGTCACTGCACTCCAGTCTGGGCGACAGAGTGAGACTCCAACTCAAAAAAAACAAAAACAAAAACAAAAAGCAAAGTTGTCCATTCTCTCTCACCCTACATTAAACTCATCATCAAATCCTGTCAGTTCTACCATCAAGATATATTTAGAATTGGAACACTTTTAACTTCACTATTATCACAATAGACCAAATCACCATTATCTTTCATGTGGATACTACAGAAGCCTCCTAACTGGTCTTCCTGCTTCCTTCCTTACCCTGCTGAAGTCTAGGCCAGAGATCAGCAATTTTTTTCCTGTAAAAGGCCAGATAGTAAATATTTTAGGCTTTGCTAACCATATGGTCTCCATCAACTGTCACCTCTGTTTTGTAGCTTGAAAGTAGTCATAGATAATACATAAACAAGTGAGCATTGCTGTGTTTCAATAACACTTTATCAGTGAGTACTGAAATTTGAAATTCACGTAATTTTTACAGGGCACAAAATATATTTCTTTTGAATTTCTTCAAACATCTAAAAATGTAAAAACCGGCCGGGTGCAATGCCTATGATCCCAGCCAGCATTTTGGGAGGCTGAGGGCTTGAACACATAACTTCTTTTTTTTTTGAGTCAGGGTCTTACTCCATTGCCCAGGCTGGAGTACAGTGACACAATCATGGCTTACCACAGTCTCATGTAATCCTCCTGCCTCAGCCTCCTGGGTAACTGGGACTACAGGCAAGCTCCACCACACCTGGCTAATTTTTTAAATTTTTTTTGTAGAAATGAAGTTTCACTATGTTGTCTAGGCTGGTGGCTCAGGCCTGTAATCCCAGAGCTTTGGCAGGTGGAGATGAGAGGATTGCCTGAGTCCAGGAGTTCAAGACCAGCATGGGCAACTTGGCGAGACCTTGTCTCTACAATGAATAAAAAAATTAGCTGGGCATGGAGGCATGTGCTTGTAGTTCCAGCTACCTGGAAGGCTGAGGCAGAAGGATTGCCTGAACCCAACAGGTTGAGGCTGTGGTAGCCATGATCATGCCTACTGTACTCCAGCCTGGGCAACAAAGTGAGACTTAGACTTAAACAAACAAAACAACCTACAAAAAAATAAATAAATAAAATCACATAAACACAATCTGAAATCCCAAAAAGTCCTGGAATACAGAAATGCCATCTTCTGGCTGGGCTCGGTGGTTCAGTTTGTAATCCCAGCACTTTAGGAGGCCGAGGCGAGTGGACTGCCTGAGCCTGAGGGTTCAAGACCACCCCGGGCAACTTGGTGAGACCTCATCTCTACAATAAATCAAAAATTAGCTGGGCATGGTGGCACATGCCTGTAGTTCTGGCTACTGGAAAGTCTGAGGTGGAAGAATCGCTGGAGCCTAGCAGGTTGACACTGGGGTGGCCGTGAGTGCGTCACTGCACTCCAGCCTGGGTGATGGAGTGAGACTCCAGCTCACACAAAAAGAAAAAAGAAAAAAAAAAGCCATATTCCTTCATTATTACACAGGAAGCACCGCTCTATTCTTCACAGCACAGCTGTCATTATACAGCCATATGATTCACTCCTATTTCTCCAGAGCTTGGTGTGAGTTTGGTGTTCATTACACAGTAAGTGTTACAATTAGAATCAAGACACTAAAAGGCATCAAGTGTACCCCTTGGAAGCCAAAGCTATGGACTAGGAGTGGGATTGGGGTGAGCAGGTGGAGTGGGGGGTAGAAGAGATAAGGGGTGAGAATGTAGGGGATGGGGAAAGGGTGGAGAGCAGAGCAGCAGTGTAAGTCCAGGTGCCTGTTCTCCAGAAACTTCTCATCTTATTCTGCTCGTTGGCTCATTCTCCATGACTTTCCAACAAAGCCTACCTTGTTACAGGTAATCCTGAGTAAGATATGCCACCCGTTGAGTACATGGGAACTTCAATTAGCAGGAGGCAGAGTCCCATTTCTATTGTTAGGGGTTGAATCTGAAGGACTCTGTGGTGAGGGACACCAACAGTTTAGAATGGTTTAGATATGTTCTGTCCAATATGGTAGTCACTAGACAAAAGTGGCTATTTTCTATTTGAAATGTGGTAGTCTGAATCTGAAATGTGCAGTAAATATAAAACATATGTCAGATTTTGAAGATAGTACAAAAGAAGAATATAAAATATTTCAATTTCTAAATATTGATTACATGTTAAATACTATTTTCAATATATTGAATAATATTTTGAATATATTTAATATAATAATATATATATATGTTTTTGAGTTGGAGTCTCACTCTGTCGCCCAGACTGGAGTGCAGTGGCCGCTCCCAGCCACCGCAACCTCGACCTGCTGGGCTCCGGCAATCCTTCCGCCTCAGCCCTCCAAGTAGATGGAACTACAGGCGCGCACTACCACACCCGGCTAATTTTTTGATTTATTGTAGAGATGAGGTCTCACCAAGTTGCCCAGGTGGGTGTTGAACCCACGGGCTCAAGCAATCCACTCACCTCAGCCTCCCAAGGCACAGGATTACAGGCTGAGCCACCGAGCCCAGCTTGAATATAATAATATTAATACAGGTCGGGCTCGGTGGCACAGCCTGTAATCCCGCACCTTTGGGAGGCTGAGGTGAGCAGATTGGAAGGCTGAGGCAGAAGGATCGTCGGAGCCCAGCAGGTCGAGGCTACGGTGGCTGGGAGCAGCCACTGCACTCCAGTCTGGGCGACAGTGAGACTCCACCTCAAAAAAATAAAAAATAAAAAATATATATATATATGTATATTAATACAAATGTCACCTGCATCATTTACTTTTTTAAATGTGGCTACTAGAAAATTTAAAATTATACACATTGTTCACATGCATGGCTCACATTATAATTTTATTGGATCATTCCATATTTTTCCCTAAAGGCCCATAGGAATAGTGCCTGGAACCCAGAATGTGCTCAATAAATACTGGCTGAATACATTAAGCTGGGCTGCCTGAAAAAGGTCTTTAGTCTAAGAACTGGCAAACTACATTTTCTCCAAGCAAAGTGTTTGTCCCTTTAGTCAAAACCCTGAATATCTGATTGGCCTTAGAAGTGGGGAAAGTGGCGGAAATGTGTGAAGCTGTTGATTAGCTTGAGTCGGCTGTTGGTTCCCAGCTGTATTTACACTCTGCTTTGATGAATAAACACCACTTCAGCTGGGCTACTGGTATAGATAAAGCAGAGTTGGGATGAGATCCTTTATTAAGAACATGCCATTCCAGTGTATTATTGTTTATCACTTTTTTTTTTGTCTTCTCACCACTATACTAATGAGGAAATTGTTTATTACTTTAATGTACTCATCACGCCCACCAAGAGGGTCATCTTGGCCAGGTGCAGTGGCTCACGCCTGTAATCCCAGTACTGTGGGAGACGGAGGCAAGAATATTGCCTGAGCCCAGGGGTTTGAGACCAGCCTGGGCAACTTGGTAAGACCTCTCAACAATAAATCAAAAAATAAGGCCGGGCACAGTGGCTCAAGCCCATAATCCCAGCACTTTGGGAGGCAGAGGCAAGAGGATTGCCTGAGTCAAGGGGTTCAAGATCAGCCTGGGCAACTTGGTAAGACCTCATCTCTATAGTAAATCAAAAAATTAGCCAGGCATGGTGATGTGCTCCTATAGTTTCAGCTACTTGGAAGGCTGAGGTGGAAGGATCACCTGAGCCCAGCAGGTCAAGGCTGCAGTGGCTGTGAGCATGCCACTGCACTCCAGCCTGGGAGACAGAGTGAGACTCCAACTCAAAAAAAAAAAAAAAAGAAAAGAAAAGAGGGTCATCTCAGCAACCAATATATACAAGGAAACAACATTTAGTGTTGTAAAGCCTATGTTACTGATCACCACTCTTGGGGGAAAAAAAAGTATCTTACCTGCAGCAAAGGCATCAGCTGCAAACCCAGTGCTTGTTCATAGAGCAAGTTCAGTTCTGCACAACTGGAGGAGAGTTTGGAGGTGTAGAGGTAATAATGTACGTGCCTAAATGTGGAACCATCTCTATCGATGAATAGCCTCTGGTTTTCTGAAGAGTTCAAGGCTGAAGCCTCTTTCCACAGCAGAGAGTCTGGGAACTGAGCGAGTTTGCTTCTAGGAACTGAGAAATGCCAACCCCCAACATTAAAATGAAATGAATCTTCTGCTGATTCATGAAGCATGCCAGATTCTTCCTAAAGGGAGAATGAAAAGAGAACTGTTATAAGAAAAGGAAATAAAAAAGCATCCAGGTTGGAAAGGAAGATATAGAACTATCTCTATTTGCTGGTAACATGATCTTGTATATAGAAAATCCTAAGGAATTCACTAGAAAACTATTAGAAATAAGTCCAGGCCTGGCATAGTGGTTCACACCTGTAATCCCAGAGCTTTGGGAGACTGAGGAGGAACGACTGCTTGAGGCCAGGAGTTCAAGACCAACCTGGGAAACATAGCAAGATCTCTGTTTCTACAAAAAAGAAAAAATTTAGCTGGGTGTGGTGGCCTGCACTTACAGTTCTGGCTACTCAGGAGGCTGAGATGGGAGAACTATTTGAGCCCAGGAGTTGATGTTGTAATGAGCTATGATCACGCCACTGCACTCCAGCCTGGGTGACAGAGCAAGACCCTGTCTCTAAGAAAAAAAGCCAACAACAACAAAAAAGATAATCCACAGAATGGAAGAAAATATTTGCAAATCATTTGCCTGATAATTAACTTATTTCAAGAAAATATAAAGGACATTTATAACTCAATAATAAAGAGACAACCAAATTTTAAAATGGGCAAAGCACCTAAGTAGATATTTCCCCAAAGAATTGGCACAAATAGCTGGGCTTGGTGGCTCAGCCTGTAATCCCTCGCTTGGGGAGGCTAAGGTGAGTGAATTGCCTAAGCCCACGGATTTGAGACCTGCCTGGGCAACTTGGCAAGACCTCATCTCTACAATAAATCAAAAATTAGCGGGCGTGGTAGCGCGCGCCTGTAGTTCCAGCTACTTGGAAGGCTGAGGTGGAAGGATCGCCGGAGCCCAGCAGGTAGAGGCTGCAGTGGCTGGGAGCGGCCACTGCACTCCAGTCTGGATGACAAAGTGAGATTCCAACTCCAAAAAAAAAAAAAGAATTGACACAAATGACCAACAGCATATAAAAAGATGCTCAACATCATTAGTCATCAGGAAAATTGCAACTCACAACCTACAATGAAATACCACCTCACACCCACTAGTATGGGTAGAATCAAAACAATAAATAATAACAAAGAAATTGGAACCCCCATACTCTGCTGAGGTGTAAAATGGTGTAGCCACTTTAGAAGACAGTTTGGTGTTTCCTCAAAATGTTAAACACAGAGTTACTCTCTGAGTCAGCAATTTTACTCTTAGGTATATCCACAAGAGAATGAAAACATACATCCACACTAAAATGTTTAGCCTAATGTTCATAAAACATAATAACCAAAAGGTGGAAATGAACCTAATGTCCATCAGCTGATGAATAAACAAAATGTAGTGTATCCATACAATGGGATATTATTTGTCAAAAAAAAGAAATGAAGTACTGATACATGTTACAACATGGATTAATCTTGAAACATTATGCCAAGTGAAAGAAGCCAAACACAAAAGATCATATATTATATGATATGATTCCATCCACATTTAATGTGCCAAATAGGCAAATTTAAAGAGACAAATAGTAGTTGTCTGGGGCTGGAGAGGTTGTGGGAAAACAGGGTATGGCTACCCTGGGAATGGGTTTTCTTTTAGGAATGATGAAAATGTCTTAAAATTGATTGTGGTGATGGTTTACAAGTCTGTAAACACACACACACACACAAACCCCATTGAATTGTACATATTAAAATGTGTAAATTGGATGGTATATGAATAATAGCTCAATAAAGTTGTTAAAAAGAGAGAGACTTGTGATGAGGTACTCCTCCATTGAACACATGCAGAGCTCTCTTGGAAGCTTACCTCCAGAGACATTACATTATTGGGGGCTGAATGCTATGAGTGCCTTTTCATATATACAAAGGCAGCAATGATCATTAACCTTCCTCAGCACACTGTTAAAAGTTTATGGTTGAGCTTTGGCCTTCTTGGGGAGGTGACTCTCCTCTTTCTCTTTCCAATTTACTTTCTAAATAAACTATATTTTCTAATAAAAAAAATTAAAAGTTTGTGGTCATCTATTCATCTGTTAAGCAAGAGGTTGTTGAAAAAAGTTTAAGGCCATCTGTTTATAAGTTAATTGTCTACTTTGCTTCAAGATGACCTAGCTTATAAACAACATAGAAAAAGAGAAAGCTGTCAAACATACAAACCATCCATATCAGATTTGTAAATAAACAAAAAGCACTACCTTTGTAAAAAAAAATGTAAAGAATGGTAAATAGGGCCAAGTGGAGTGGCTCATGCCTGTAATCCCAGTACTTTGGGAGGCCAAGGCAGGAGGATTACTTGAGCCCAGGAGTTTAAGACCAGCCAGGCAACATAACAAGACCTTGTCTCTACAAAAAAATAGTAAAAAATTAGCCAGGCAGGGTGGCACACATCTGTAGTCCCACCTACTCTGAGCCCGAGGTAGAAGGATCGCCTGAGCCTAGGAGGTGGAGGCTCACATAAGCTGTGATGGCACCACTGCACTCTAGACTGGTCAACAGAGACTCCAACTAAAAAAAAGTATATAGTATATAAAATTTTACTTTAAAAAAACCCATAACACTATGCTGATTATAGTTAAAAACCGTGCATGCTAAAGTTACTGGGTTGTAAAGTACTAATATCTGCAACTTATTTTGAAATGAATCAAAAAATAAGATGGGTAGAGAAATGACCAGATGGACATGTGATAAAACAAATACAGTAAAATGTTAATTGTAGAATGTAGGTAGCAGGTATATGACACTCACTGTACAAGTCTTTCAACCTTTTTGAATGTTTACAAATTTGCATAAAAACTTTGTGGGGGAGAGTGTTAATGTAAAAGGTGTTTGCTCAAGAGAGGAAAAGCCCCCTACTTCAACAAAAATCTGCAACTCCTATTTTCATAGCTGAGAAAGGACAATAAACACATGCAACAAAAAAAGGAAGTAGGGTTCATTTTTCCTACAGTAAGCTTAGTCTAAATATTCAGAAATAAAGAAGAGCAATTATATATGCCACACTTGAGACTAGAAGAGTTAAAAGGGGCAAGAAAAAGAAAGATTACAATTGTGAAGTGACAAGAGCAGAGCAGGAAAAGTGAATCTAATGAGTTAACCTAGGATTGAGAGCCCTGGTCCTTCTGGAAGTGGCTAAGGTTGGAGGTAACAAACTGTAACTAAGAGCCCCACCCAGACCAGAAAACATGAATATACAAAAACTCCTGGTTTTGTTTTTTGTTCTCCTTAAAGGCGACTAGGTGGTTGAGGGCTCGGTGGAGGTGCTGAATGTGCAGAAGTTGGGCGCTAAAGAAAACCTACTCCTTGAAGGTGATTCCTAGTTCTGGTCTCGGTTCCTGTTTTCTTATTAAGTATGGGGGTGACAAGAGGGTCTTGGCTCAAGAGTTTGCCTCCTTCTTACACATCCATGGGTGGACTCGAGAGACGCCTGCTGGAGTGAGGATAGAGGTGACAGATGTAGCTGTTCTTTCCCCAAAACTTTTCTTCCCAAAGACTGCTCAAAAGCTGGTTAGTGCAAAACTATCTCTGCCTGTGAAGAGCCCCCAGTCACAGGCAAGTTTTGGGGGAGAGGGGGGCACAGTACCAGAAAAACAAAAAGCTTCTTGTCAGACTGACTGCAGGAAATGGGGCAGCCTTAAAATAGTCACCTCCACTCCATCCCAAAGAGCACCTCTCTTTTCCACATTGATCCCTCTCCCCCAAAAGGAGCTCCTTCCACATCAATTTCTGGAGCTAGAACCACGTCATGCTCCAAAGAGACAGGACTTCAACTCTCAGGGCCAAGATTCTCAGACTTTTCGATCTGAGGCTCCCCATCCCGCCCCACAATCCTACAGATTTGGGCCCCCCTTCACGCTCATTCTGGCCATACCCCAGAGTCAGCATTTCCCAGCGCTGAGATACTAAGTCCTTCACCTCATCAAAGAGGCACATCCCAGCCCTCAGACCTGTAGTCCCCCAAATCCTCATTGCCAGAAGAACATTTCATTCCTCAAGGCAGCGCATACTTCTAACCCCTCAGAGATAGCTCCACAAATCCTTCAAAGCTGGGGCCCTCCTCTTCCCCCAGCGCACGTCCCAGAGCCAGGTCCCTAACCCCATAGCCCTAATCCGGGGCCATAGCACCCCTCACTCGCTGCTTCAGTCTTTTTGCCGTCCCCGCCAGGGCTGCGTCCATACCATAACTGAAGCTCCTGCGGCGGTGGGTAGGCGCGTGACCCGCCCAATAACGGTCCCCGGGAGCACCCGGGCGCGCGCGGCGGGGCGGGGCCTGGCCGGCGGGGCGGGGCT